TTTAGTATGAGGAAGAGGAGGCTGCGGGGAGACCTCATCACTCTCTACAACTACTTGAAAGGACACTGTAGAGAGGTTGGTGCTGGTCTCTTCTCACAGGTAATTAACAATAGAACGAGAGGGAACGGCTTCAAGCTCCAACAGGGGAGGTTTAGATTGAACATTAGGAAGGAATTTTTCACAGAAAGAGTGATAGGGCATTGGAACAGGCTGCCCAGGGAGGGGGTGGAGTCACCATCCCTGGATGTGTTTAAGGGACGTTTAGATACGGTACTGAGGGATATGGGGTAGGGGAGGACTTTGTAGAGTAGGGTAGATGGTTGGATTCCATGATCCCAAGGCTCTCTTCCAACCTCAATGATTCTATGATCCTAAGGAAGAGTCAAATACGATAGGAAAGGTGACAGTAGCTAAGAGTGGTGAGATATTTCTCTGTATGTCACTAATCCCTGTAGAGTTGACCAATCTCTCTGGGATCTGGTGTCCCTAGCCTGGGATCTTGCTGGTTCTGTGGCCCTTCCACCCGCTCTCCCAAATCACTGCTGAGGAACTCTTTTCAGACACAGCTCTAGAGTTGAGTGAAGGAAATGACTCTGCTCTCTAACCATATTATCACATTTCCTTCTGCCCAGCTCAAAATAAGAGGCTTTTGAAATGTTCTCGGGGTTGCAGTTCTCCAGACACTCAACCACCTATTCTCAACCACTATGATGTTTACAAAGCAGAGCTTTTATTGCTTCCGCCCACGCAAAGGAAGCAGTGATGGGACAGAGATTCATCCCTAGATGACAATGTTTTTTTGATTCCAAAACAAACTTTCTAAAAAATATTTTTAAAACACAAAGGGACACTTTCTTCTCTGCAGTTGTTACTGTGTTGGCTTAAAAACTTTTCTCAGATATGTTAAAACCAAATCTGACATTTTGTCCTAGCGATCTCTCAAGTTACAGACCATAAAAAGTTCATGTGCTACTTCTGTGTGCATGACAAAGCCAGGTTCTTTAATTTTATTTGCCTTCCTACTAAATCTTCCTATCTTTTTCTCAATTCTTGTTTTCTCTTTTGAGGGGAAGAATGGGGCGGGGAGAGACAACAGGTAAAAATTTCTCCTTTTGTTTTAAAAGGAGAAATTGACTAATCCTTGAAGGCAGGTGTTATGTTGACAGTGTGGTAATAGACAGAGATTTGAGTCTGGTGCTTGCAGCAGGATGCTGCAGGGTTCCAATCAGATTCTTGACAATGAACCTTAAACTACGTGTGCAGCTACTTGTCTTTATATAGATTAAAAAAAAATAAATATATAAAATCATAGAATGGTTAGGGTTAGGAGGGACCTTAAAGATCACTGCGGCATCCCAAATCTCAGCTACCTGTACGTAAAGTAGTTGAGGAAATATTAATAACCTACCTGCTATAGCAAGAAGCAAAGTGAATTTTGGGCTGCAGTGAGATGACTTTCTGTACCTGGGCGATCTTTAAAACCAGCTTAAATATTCCTCATCATCTGCTGGGCTGATAATTTTGGAGCTTTTCCACTGGCAAAAGGTCAACTACTGGTATAACACCTCTTGCTGTGCCTGGTCAGGACTGGTGCTGCTGGTGGCCACTGTTAGTTGCTCCACATGGTTCCAGCTGAGTGTTGGTGCCATTTGCATGGATAATATCCACATGACTGAAGTCACCCAGGCTCAAGGTAAAGCTTTGATTCAAAGCCTTCGACACCAAGCTGCAATTACGTGGTATAGTCCACTGGATCAGACTGGGCTGTCCCAAAACACTGTCTTTATCTCTAAGCTTACCATCTTTGTGAAGCTTCTTTATTAAGCATTGAAGAAGGAAGAAAAAGGAAAAAAAAAAAACAAAACAAACCATGGAGAAGCTTTAGTATTTTGCAGCAAAATATTTTTAAGATCAAAATTTAAGCTAGTGGGACTTATGTAAGAAAGCAAAAGCTTGAGTGTAATAGCTCAATAGAAGTTCCCAGATCTTCATTGATTATAGATGGACACAGTTGGCCAGCTAAGGACCTGGACCCTGTTTTCCCTTGTGTATATGCATGAAATTTGAGAACAGAACTGATTTGTGGTAGACACACAGAGAGCATTTGTGGTATGCTGTGGTTTGTGACACTCTGAGGTTTCCAGAGCATTGCTTGCAGGAAACGCAAGTTGTACTATTATATCAAATAGCATTACCATTTTCTTGTGTTTCCTACCCAAAAGAACATTCATGTGCCTCAGTGAACATAATCCTTTCCTGTTTTTGGTTGTTGGAATTAATTTTGTTCATGGAAGTGTAAAACTGAAAATCTGGAATATAATTCAAAACTGTGATTTTGTAACATTTGGTGCCAAAAATCTCAGGAATTATTTGCAAGAACTTTAGTGAGGATTTACCAGTTTTACTTGGGCAGTAGTATAACACTATCAATTTGGAATGGGTTTTGTTTAGATTTTATTTTATCTATTTTAATTTTTGGTGCCACAATTAAATTCCTGGGTTTTAAACATGACGATTCTTAAGGGAATATTACACTGCACAATAAAACACTGCAATGTGTTTTATTTACAAGGATGCCTTAGGTGGTGTAAGTTGTGTAGCTGAAGATACGGCAATAAAGCTCTTACAGATAGAGTAGGTGTGGGTTTTGCTTGTTTTAAAGTGTGTTTGTGGTTACATGTCCGAGGATGTCCTACTCTCTGAGCTTAGTAGCAGGGCCCGGTGGGAGAAGAATAGCAATATATCGTCACCATTTTGAATATTTCAAATTCACACATTTGAATAAAATGTTCTCAGGTTCGCTTTTTACAAACAAATGAATCAATCTGTAATTTCCAAATAATTACATAGATGTTAAAAGGGCAATAACAGGTTTTGTTCTGCTGCCTACCGCGCTGTGCCCGTGCTCTTATCTAGGTGATATTTCATATGGAAGATATCAAAGGTCCAGAACAATTTACAGGGAAGGTAATACTATTGATACTGGCTTCATAGAAAATGTTGCTGATATTGCACGTTAGTATACTGCTAAAAAAAAAAAATAAAAAAATAAACCCAAACAAAAAAGGCAAGTACAGATCTCTGTACTTTTGTATGGAGCTCTGCAGTTGTGTTAGTTGTTGACAGTTGGGTAAATGAAAACTTGCACCTTTCCATCACGTCTGGATGCATTGGTAATGCCAGATTCTTTTTCCTTATTCTGTTATTATCTCCTCTGCAGTTGTGTTAGTTGTTGACAGTTGGGTCAATGGAGACTTGCACCTTTCCATCACGTGTTGTAGTGTATCTGGATGCATTGGTAATGCCAGGTTCTTTTTCCTCATTCCATTATTATCTCCCTTCTTTCCCTATCAATTCAAGGATAGATTTGAACTCAAAAAAGTACTTATTTCTTTGCTGGACATTGCATTGAATAATCTAAGATTCCAAACTTGCCTGGTTCAGAATTCTAGACCAAAATCTCATCAGGTCTGGTCTGTAATACCATTTTTATATGAATGCTATATATGTAATGGTTTTGATATTGGTTAATATGGTTTGTGATAATTTGCACTTCAAAAATCCAGAATCTGAATTTCAATGCTACACAGTCCAGAAATTGCTTTCTTACTGTCTTTATTAACTGCTTAATGAACAAAGTTGTATAGTGAACTGAATATTTGGAAAAAACAATACAAATAGTTTTTATTTACTCAAGTGTTCACAGTCTTTAAAAAAGTAAGCTTGAGAAATAGTTTGGTGCATTTTAAAATCCCTGGAGGGATTCAAGGCCAAGCTGGAAGGGGCTTTGAGCAACCTGGTCTGGTCGGACGTGTCGCTGCCCAGGGCAGGGGGTTGGAACTGGATGATCTTTAAGGTCCCTTCCAACTCTAACCATTCTATGAGAATGGGATGGATTTTTGCCATGTCACAGAATGATTCAGGCATCATACTCAAAAGACTGACTTGGGAGCTTTTGCTGATGGAGGAGGAAAACAGGGAGAGACTTTGTGTAGTTGTCTATGTAAAGTTATTGACGTATTGCTTGAATTGAATTTTTCCTCAGAAAACAATGAGCAGAAAGGTGACAGGTACATTCTCTCCAACCCATAACTCCACAAATAAATCAGAATAAGAAAGTCTGTGTTATTACAGTGCCTTCTCTTTCAGGATTCTTGGCTATTACATCCTGTGCTTGAATAGAATAACCATCCTAAGTGCGTTGTTGGCATTCCTGGTCTCCTTAATTACTGTATCTGCAGTGACAATAGATATCTTTTCCTAAAGAGTTTATGGACCAAATCCAATTGCTTAATGAGGTTAGAAGGAATCTTTCCCTGTATTTGAGTAGGCGTAAGATCTTGCTCTAAAAATCTGGGAAAGGACAACATGGTGCTTGTTTGATAACTTCAGTGTGTTTGGAATCCAAAATAAACATGGCCATAGCTTCTGGTCAGTGTAAGACACTGTGGTCAGTCTAATGTGACATCCCACAGCTGCTTTACCACGGTATGGACCAACATCTAGTAGGAACTGGATAATAGGAAGTGGGAAAAGGTTTTCCTGCCTCCGAAAATTATAGGTATCGCTTAAGGGCCGTGCCTTCTGTTTGTAGCCTGGTGTCAATGGCAAAACTGCACTTCACCTTCTTAGAACAACCCAGGAGGAAGGAAGAAGCAGAGCAAAGAAAGTTTTCTATAAAATTGTGTAATCATAGATATCTTATTTTTTTTGTTTGTAAGAAGGAAACATATCATCATGTTTACGTTAAATAACTTGCTAAGAAATGAGATACGCAGGCCCAGTCTTGAGAATATTTACGTTCACACACCAGGAATTAATTGCAAACAACATCACTACTCGTGTGAGTGATAACTGCTTGTGAAAGCAGTGAAATCAGCCTCCTAATCTGCATGTTTATCAATTTCTTTACCATTGTAGAGCGTTATAGAGAAAGTGAGAGCTTTCAAAACCGCTCAGTGGTCATTTAAGATTATTTTCTTTTCTTTTGTGTCCCACAGGTACTTTGTGTCTGCATGCTGACGACCATCCTAGGATGTATATTTGGCCTGAAGCCTAGCTGTTCAAAAGATGGTAACTAATATGCCTTTTATTTAGTGATATTTCTAAGAAATTCCTTTTTCTTTTCTTTTCTTATTTAGTGATATTTCTAAGAAATTCCTTTTTTTCTTTTTTTCTTTGTAAATTAATTTTGATATTATCAGAATGCCACCATTTCTTGCTGCAGGAAGGGGACTGGATGCATGGCTTGGAGCAGTCTCAGTTAGAAGGGAATGGAAATAGCAGAAAATCTCAGGTGTACTCAGTATTTGTGTGTACTCACTGGAGAGGTAAATGGATCCTGGCACTCCGTGTCTGGTCTGGCTAATTCCATGTATCCCGACTGTCACTGTGGTGATGTCACACGGCTGGCTTTTCTCAGCTCACTATGAAAAAAAAAACCCCAAAACCAACCACCACCAATTTCTATTTCATGTTGTCCTGGAACATTTGTTTTTCATCTTTTCCAGTCAATTATAGGGGGAGAAAAAAAAACGTTTATTTTTTTACTGGTTAGAATTGTAGTCTGAAAACGTTCCTTGTGGAATTCCTCTGGCTGTTTTCTGACCTGAAAAATATGTGTTTTTTTTTTTTTTTCAATGGTGCAGTTTCTTCAGGTAGGTTACGAAAGATATGTGAAGAAATCAAGCTTCGCTTTGGGAACAACCATCTAGAATAATTTCAGAGTTGACCCGTTTAACAAACAGTCCTACAATGTGGTTTTTTTTTAACTAAAATTCAGATTATTAATTTCCCACTAGAATCTGTTTAGGTTTTTTTTTCCTCAATTTACCACACCTTTGCAATATTGGCTCATTATTAGCTTGTTTTCCTCATATCACACACCTTAAGAGTCTTGAGGAGCCAAATGATGGAGGATTTACCTCACACCCTTCTGGTGATTGCACAGGATGAAGCAGACTGACCAACTACTTAAGTGTTGTTAATGCTTCAATCACAGGTTTCTGTTTTTTTTTTTTTTTTTTTTTTTTTCCCAGGCAGCCCCAATCTAGTGGAAGAATGCTATGCATTTTCTATTGGTTTGGGTTTTTTTAAGATTAAAATGGGACAAAAATTAGGCCGGTGAGCAGTACACTCAAGTTCTTATCTCCTGCATGTGGAACAGCCCTTCCTGGCCCTTGAAACAAGACCTTAACCCTGGTATGGGGGGATGTGGAACTGGGACTTCTTCAGTTCCTCTCATTTGTATGAAGATAGACATTCAGATGGGGTGTGAGCACGAGAGAGGTGCAAGCATAGCCAATGCAGTCTAAATTCCAAGAAATGTATAATTATTTATAGAAAATGGAGTGTCATCAGGTGTGAAAATAAAGATTGGTGTTCTCCACAGAAGCATTTTGCTGTTTTAGGGCACCCTTATTGAAAACCTTCATTCAGATTTCCTCCGACAGAGATATTCCAAATTCTAAATGACCACCCTTATACCTTCTGGTGATACAGAAAGGCAGGGACAGTCACAGCTGGAATTGTGGTCTTTTGTTTCACTTGCTTCTGCCAGTAACGAAGCACCATGTTCCTTCTAAAACAGAACAGATCCCTTCGTTCAATATGATGCAAAAATATTTTTATTCAATAAGAGAAAAATCAACATTTAATTGGATCAAGACTTTCCTTTTTCTTTGGCTGCCACTGGTTTTTGCAGCCATCCTATAAGCTGTGGAATGGCCAACTGTGTCATTCTACACGCTGACCTTATTAATTTCTTTTGCTTGTTGACTGATTTGGGCTCAGGCACTGACATCTAACACTCTCCAATATTACAGTGAAAACCTGCAAAGGTCGCTGCTTTGAAAGGACCTTTGGAAGCTGCCGTTGTGATAGAGACTGTGTCAAGCTTGGAAACTGCTGCTTAGATTACCAGGAGACATGCATAGAGCCAGGTAAGGGTGGAAAAAAGCTGTGGGAGCAAACTGTCCTATGCTGTGACATGGAACAGCTTGGCAAGTGTGAGTGCAGTTGTGGCCAGGTGGCCATAACCTGTGGCTTAGAATCATGGAATTGCTTGGGTTGGAAGGGACCTTCCAGATCATCGATTCCAACCATCAACCCAACACTGACAAAACCCATCACTAAACCATATCTCCAAGCACCACGTCTAGCACCATGTTCCTTCTAAAACAGAACAGATCCCTTCGTTCAATATGATGCAAAAATATTTTTATTCAATAAGAGAAAAATCAACATTTAATTGGATCAAGACTTTCCTTTTTCTTTGGCTGCCACTGGTTTTTGCAGCCATCCTATAAGCTGTGGAATGGCCAACTGTGTCATTCTACACGCTGACCTTATTAATTTCTTTTGCTTGTTGACTGATTTGGGCTCAGGCACTGACATCTAACACTCTCCAATATTACAGTGAAAACCTGCAAAGGTCGCTGCTTTGAAAGGACCTTTGGAAGCTGCCGTTGTGATAGAGACTGTGTCAAGCTTGGAAACTGCTGCTTAGATTACCAGGAGACATGCATAGAGCCAGGTAAGGGTGGAAAAAAGCTGTGGGAGCAAACTGTCCTATGCTGTGACATGGAACAGCTTGGCAAGTGTGAGTGCAGTTGTGGCCAGGTGGCCATAACCTGTGGCTTAGAACCATGGAATTGCTTGGGTTGGAAGGGACCTTCCAGATCATCGATTCCAACCATCAACCCAACACTGACAAAACCCATCACTAAACCATATCTCCAAGCACCACGTCTATACATCCTTTGAATACCACCATGGATGGTGACTCCACCACTTCCCTGGGCAGCATCTTCTAATGCTTGATAACCCTTTCAGTGAAGAAATTTTTCCTGATATCCAATCTGAACTTCTCCTGGTGCAACTTGAAGCCATTTCCTCTTGTCCCATGGCCTGTTCCTTGGGAAAAGAGACCAACCCCCCCTGGCTACACCCTCCTTTCAGGGAGTGGGAGAGAGTGAGAAGGTCTCCCCTCAGCCTCCTATCTCCAGGCTGAACACCCTCAGCTCCCTCAGACTTGTGCTCCAGACCCCTCACCAGCTCCGTTGCCCTTCTCCGCTCCAGCACCAAAACATCCTTCTTGTCCTGAGGGACAAGAACAAACTGAACGCAGCCCTCGAGGTGGGGCCTCACCAGTGCCTTTTTTCAGGTGGGCTGTGTGTTCAAAGCGGGGGCTGCTCAACATCAGGGTGGTTCTGCTGCCAGTGGTCTCCCCCCTCTTTGCGGTCCCTCACCAGTGCCTTTTTTCAGGTGGGCTGTGAGTTCAAAGTGGGGGCAGCTCAGCATCAGGGTGGTTCTACCACCAGTGGTCTCCTCCAGTCTTTGCGGTCTCTCCATTGTGACCATGGGTGGACGGCAGTGGTGATGGTGGTAGTGGAGACTCAGCAGAAACATCAGGGCTGTGGTGTGGCTGTTGTTGTACACAAACAAAGCTTGTATTTCACCCAGCTGGACTACGTAGGAGCTGGCACAGCCAGTAGGCCGGCTTTCCCCTGGCTTCTGGGGGCACAAAGGCTGTGAGAGACCGTGCTGCTGCCCTCCCCCTTGGAAAGAGGAGGAACAGCGGCATCTCCGCCTCAGCCAGCCTTTTGTTCTCTGTCTGGGGGTGAGGGAACAGTGACCTCCATTGTCCCTTGTCTCAGGGACAGCCCCTACGTTCTCAAGCAAGCCAGGAATGGGAGTGCATTCTGCATATTGTATAGAATCATAGAATAGTTTGGGTTGGAAGGGACCTTAACGATCACCCAGTTCCAACCCCCTGCCCTGGGCAGGGACACCTCCCCCCAGCCCAGGTTGCTCCAAGCCCCATCCAGCCTGGCCTTGAACCCCTCCAGGGATGGGGCAGCCACAGCTTCTCTGGGCAACCTGTTCCAGGCTCTCACCACCCTCACAGCAAAGAATTTCTTCTTAATCCCTTCTCTAAATCTCCCTTCTTTCAGTTTAAAACTGTTACCTCTCGTCCTATTGCTCCCCTCCCTGATCAAGAGACCACTCCCCATCTCTCCTGGAGCCCCTTGAGGGACTGGAAGGGTCTCTAAGGTCTCCCCAGAGCCTTCTCTTCTCCAGGCTGAACCTCCCCAGCTCTCTCAGCCTGTCTCTCCCTGTCGTTGCCTGTGTGAAGAAGGGGAAGGACAGAGCAGCTCTGTGAAAGCTGCCATCTCTTCCTGCCCAGCCACTCTGGCCTCTGCCCTGTTACTCCTCAGCCTGAGTGTGAAGCAAGGGTCATCTGCTGGGACAAGGCAGGGTGACAAAGCAGATTGCACTGGTGGAGTGATTGCTGAGTGAGGAGTAGTTCTTGTGATTTGCCAGAAAGCAAAGGTCAGACGGGCAAAGGTGTGAAAAGTACCGTGTAAAAACTTTACAGGGAGGGATGTTAGTGTGGGGAGTAACACTAAACACAGAACCTGACTGTCTTCTCTAATTTAGTTTTGCCTTAAGGCTTCATATGCAGCATTCTTTTCAGGTAATTACTTTTCTTCCCACTCCTCTTTACGTGTATTTGTAAAATTTATCAATGTAGTCTCACCCTGAAATTAAATATTCCAACGCTGACTTTTAAAACCAAATGATTAAACTTGGCTCAGCTCTCTGCTTCAACTGACTGTTATTAAAGAGCCTTTATATCGTATAAAGAGTTTTCCTGATAGAATAGTTGCATGGGATTTACTCTCTACTTTTGCATTACACCACTCCCTCATTTGAAAGAATAACTTAAAAACAAACTGCAGAGTGTGTCTCAGCGCTAAGAATGGGAGTTCATTGCTTGGTGGTGTTTTTTGAAATTAGTTAGCTTTAACATCAGTGGAGAATCAAATTCTAATTTTCAAATAGTATCACAGAACTAGAACCATAATAGATTCTTCTGTCTCTCACAGAAGTAAAGATTGACTGACATTGGTGGAGTTACTGAAGTTCAGTATTCCTGAAAATGAGATCTACCTCCTGAGAACGCTTTGCTAGTCGTGTGTGAAGATCACTGACTGTCCTCTAATCAAACATTTACATTTTGCTTCCATGTCTCTGTTAAGACCTTCACTTAAACATTCACTCATTAGGTAAATTCATTCATGTTTATCCTCATTGACTGCAAAGGATCTACTGGTGTTTACACCTGGTAACTAAATGATCATCTGCAAATGATACGATGCAAAAATCAATATGATTCAGGAAAAAAAATCTCTCCTAAAAGCAGCAGTGAAGCTGCAGTCAGTAAGCACATGTGGATTATTAGCCACGGGTGTTTCTATTTTCCAGTGCTAAATCATGCAATATTGTGCCTGCATGAGATACCTCAGGGCTGTTTTTCAGGGATTATTCGAGACAGAATTTAACACTCAGTTTATTAATGTTACACTTACACTGGATTTAACACTCAGTTTATTAATGTTACACTTCCACTGGGATGTCCCTGCTCATTGCAGGGGGATTGGACTAGGTGACCTTTAAAGACCCCTTCCAACCCAAATGATTCTATGATTAATCATTTTCCTTCTCTCTCATCTGTTTTTTAGCCCACATCTGGACCTGTAATAAATTCAGGTGTGGAGAGAAGAGGCGACCAGAGTATCATTGCTCCTGTTCAGATGATTGTGTGGAAAATAAAGACTGCTGTGTCAATTATCAGGCTGTTTGTAAAGGTAAATATCCTCAACGAATTCCTACAGTCTCTCATATATGTACCCATATTTGTATGAAAGGAGAAAGGACATAATATAAATTTAAAAGCACCCAGTAAAATGAAAAGAAAAAAAAAACAAACCCTTGCATTTATCAATAAGAATGTTCTGTCTTAAAAAAATAAACTGCACTCATTTGTTTTAAGGAGAGGCAAGCTGGGTTGAAGAAGAGTGTGAGGACATTACTGAACCTCAGTGTCCAAAAGGGTGAGGATATTGCCTGTTTGCATAGCTCTGCTCTTTGCTTAACGTCTCGTTTGGGGAGATTTATTTTCCCTACTGCGCCTTCCTGGGACCTGCTTGCATTTCTTGTCCCCAGTAAGAGTGAGACAGGCAGAGAAGGACCCCTCTTTGGCCAGCGTTTGGCGGTGCTTACTAACAGATAAGCTCTGTCCCAGCAGCTCTCCTGTATCCCAGCCCTTGCTTGACTTCCAAGACGTGCCCATTCCTGAGTCCTGCTGTCTCCCACAGATGTGCTCACTCCAGGCAGCTCTGCCTTGTGCCAGCCTTGCTGTTGCCACACGTGCTCCTAATACTCGCCGTTATCAAATATTTTGGGACCCATCCAACAATCTCAGGGCCCTAAAACTGCCTCCTTCCCCAGTCACTTCTAAAGACCTTTCCACTTCTTTGCCTGTTCCAGCCCCAGAGCTGCAAAACACGGGGCAGGTCGTTTGTCCCAGTTCCACCAGCAGTGGGACGGAGTTATTTGCAAGCTGTCTGCACGACTTTCTTTAGAAGGTGTAAAAAAGCCATGGGATCCTTGTATTCTCTGGCTCAGCTCCACACCAGGCCCTGCAAGTTCTGTGTGTGCTGTGTGAGGAGTGACTCATGTCATTTCTGGCGTCAGCACTCAGGCTCAGATAGTCCAGCCGTGCCCATTCCTGAGTCCTGCTGTCTCCCATGGATGTGCTCTCTCTGGGCAGCTCTGCCTTGTGCCAGCCTTGCTGTTGCCACACGTGCTCCTAATACTCGCCGTTATCAAATATTTTGGGACCCATCCAACAATCTCAGGGCCCTAAAACTGCCTCCTTCCCCAGTCACTTCTAAAGACCTTTCCACTTCTTTGCCTGTTCCAGCCCCAGAGCTGCAAAACACGGGGCAGGTCGTTTGTCCCAGTTCCACCAGCAGTGGGACGGAGTTATTTGCAAGCTGTCTGCACGACTTTCTTTAGAAGGTGTAAAAAAGCCATGGGATCCTTGTATTCTCTGGCTCAGCTCCACACCAGGCCCTGCAAGTTCTGTGTGTGCTGTGTGAGGAGTGACTCATGTCATTTCTGGCGTCAGCACTCAGGCTCAGATAGTCCAGCAAAGCTCCCAGCCAGGAAAAAAAAAAAAAAAACCCTGCATTTCTTTTACTGTTTTTGCTGTGGGATCTTCAAATCCACTTTAAAGCTCAGGTTGAATGCAAGCTATGATTGCATGTTGAAGTTATCCATAGAAGGGACTTAAACATTCTTGACTGAAAAGTCCTCCAGTGGGAAATAGTTCATAGCCAGGTGGTGGGGATGAGATGGATTCCATTTTGTTTGAAAAGTGTCAAAAAAAAAATCAAAACTATTTTCATTTTGATGCTTTAAAAATTATGGTGTGCTGGGGATATTTCTAGTGAAGTAAAAACATTTCATTTTGTTCTTATTTTACTACTTTTTTTTGGACTTAAGATATTTAACTGGTGCTATATTTATTCATTGGTGTTATAACGCTGTCAAACAAAATACATTTCCTTTTGGAATATTTTTATACCAAATGAGTACTTTTCATTCTGATTCAGAGTAATTACAAATGCTGATGCTTCAGAGCCTTCATCAAGACAGAAAATGGAGTTGCTGGCCATCATGGGGCACAAGTCCCTGATAAGCCCCTGGGTACAAGGGTGGTTGCCAGGGGGTTCTGCAAGCTTTTGTCATTAACTGAGGTCGGGATCCACTCAGGATCAGGAAACTGACTCCAGGACGCTGATTTCATAGGATCATAGAATGGTTGAGGTTGGAAGGGACCTTAAAGATCGTCCAGTTCCAACCCCCTGCCCTGGGCAGGGACACCTCCCACCAGACCGGGTTGCTCCAAGCCCCATCCAGCCTGGCCTTGAACCCCTCCAGGGATGGGGCAGCCACAGCTTCTCTGGGCAACCTCTTCCAGTGTCTCACCACCCTCACAGCAAAGAATTTCTTCCTGAGATCTCATCTAAATCTCCCCTCTTTCAGTTTAAAACCATTATCCTGTTGCTCCACTCCCTGATCCAAAGTCCCTCCCCATCTCTCCTGGAGCCCCTTTAGGGACTGGAAGGGGCTCTAAGGTCTCCCCGGAGCCTTCTCTTCTCCAGGCTGAATAACCCCAACTCTCTCAGCCTTTCCACATAGAAGTGCTACAGTCCTCTTCTTCTCCGGGCTGAACAACCCCAACTCTTATAGGAGAGCTCTGATGGGGCAGCCACAGCTTCTCTGGGCAACCTCTTCCAGTGTCTCACCACCCTCACAGCAAAGAATTTCTTCCTGAGATCTCATCTAAATCTCCCCTCTTTCAGTTTAAAACCATTATCCTGTTGCTCCACTCCCTGATCCAAAGTCCCTCCCCATCTCTCCTGGAGCCCCTTTAGGGACTGGAAGGGGCTCTAAGGTCTCCCCGGAGCCTTCTCTTCTCCAGGCTGAATAACCCCAACTCTCTCAGCCTTTCCACATAGAAGTGCTACAGTCCTCTGATCATCTTTATGGCCCTTCTCTGGACCCGTTCCAACAGGTCCATGTCCTTCCTGTGCTGAGGACTCCAGAGCTGGACACAGCACTCCAGGTGGGGTCTCCCCAGAGCAGAGGGGCAGAATTACCTCCCTGGCCCTGCTGGCTACACTTATTTTGATGCAGCCCAGGATGCAGTTGGCTTTCTGGGCTCCCAGCGCATGTTGCCTGCTCATGTTGACTTCTCATCCACCAACACCCCCAAGTCCTCCTCCTCAGGGCTCCTCTCAAGGCAAGGTTAGGATGTTTTACCTCCAAGGGCAAACAAGCAAGAGCTTTGTTCAGATCCACCGTCAAAGTTAATGGGGCTTTGTTCAGATCCACCGTCAAAGTTAATGGCGTTTACGCCATTAGGGCAACTCCTGTTGGTCAACTTGTTTTTAGGGGTTATTTTGTTTGTTATTTCTGTTCAGCCTATGAAAGGGATACGTAGTGGCTCTACTAAAATTGTTTTAATCCTGGCAAAACCAGAAATGTTGCAATAAAACCCAGCCCAGGAAAGGGTGATGTGTGGTCAAAGTTGAATCAAACAGTGTTGGCTGAAGGCTCATCTCAGGCTGTTAGCACACGAGCCTCTCCCAAATCAAACAACTCTGTAAACAATCCACTTCTTTCTATGGGGCGGGCAGGAGCGCAGGTGACTTTAGCTCAGTGCTCGTTTGGAGGCCTGGGGATGTCAGTTCTGATTCTGTGTGCGTTAACATGGCGTGGTTTGTGGCTTCCATTTGCTGGTTTAATTCTGTCTTGATTTCAGTTGGGTTTGCCCCTGCGGTACAGGACAGACAAAAGTCAATGGAGTGTTCAATGAGGTGCTTAAATCTGAGAAATCCCACTGATTTCAGTCAGTCTGATGAAGTACACGCCTAAGTCATTCCAAGACTATGTCCTACGTTATTTAATAGGATTATAAAGTTAACGGGCTATAAAATTTCAGGAGCGATCTAGTTCTTCCTGCTGTTCTAGGAGCGAAATAATACTCTGAGAATTCAAACTTACCAAAGCAGTTTATCCTAGTGCTTAGTTAGATGGTTTTTCTGATGTCTTAGAATCTTCTGCTGTGCTTTAAGCCTATTATTATTTGTTTACCTTCATTGAGCTGGAAGAGCAACTGTTTCCTTTCCTCTTTGCAGACCTCTCCGGTGTATTTGGAGATTATATATTACATGCAGGGTTTATGTACATCTAGCAGAAAGGAAAGCTTTATTTCCTATGCTTTATGGCTGTATATAGGCAGTAGCATATGGGGGGGTAGGAAGTTTTCTGTGTATTATGTTTAGCTTTTCAAGGGGACTTCTTTTTCTTTTTTTCCCTTTTTTGTTTTTTCTTTCTTCTATTTTTCTTTTTTCCCTTTAATTGAGGTCTGACTTGCCTGTGGTGAGGCAGGTCAGCTTGGCAGCGTGGTCCGTGGTTCTGGGCTCTTGATCATCCAGACTGGTGAACCTGCTAGACCACAGGAAGCCTGTGCTGCCTGCATTATGTTTCCATAGAAGCCAGTTTATAGGAAGGGATAATTCCCCTGCATTTCCTTCAGGTTGGAGTCAGGATGTGACTGTGGCCCACATATTTAAACAAGAGCTGTGAAATAACCTTGTCATACTGTTTGGACACAACCAGCATAGAATCACAGAATGGTTTGGGTTGGAAGGGACCTTAAAAATCATCCAGTTCCAACCCCCTGCCCTGGGCGGGGACACCTCCCACCAGACCAGGTTGCTCCAAGCCCCATCCAGCCTGGCCTTGAACCCCTCCAGGGATGGGGCAGCCACAGCTTCTCTGGGCAGCCTGGGCCAGGCTCTCACCACCCTCACAGCAAAGAATTTCTTCCTGAGATCTCATCTAAATCTCCCCTCTTTCAGTTTAAAACCGTTACCCCTCATCCTGTGGCTCCCCTCCCTGATCAAGAGTCCTTCTCCATCTCTTCTGGAGCCCCTTTAGGGACTCTAGGATCTCCTTGGAGCCTTCTCTTCTCTAGGCTGAACAACCCCAACTCTCTGTCTGTCTTCATAGGAGAGGTGCTCCAGCCCTCTGATCATCTTCGTGGCCACCTCTGTCCTTGTTCCAACAGGTCCATGTCCTTCATGTGCTGGGGACTCCAGAGCTGGACACAGCACTCCAGGTGGGGTCTCCCCAGAGCAGAGGGGCAGAATCACCACCTGGCTACACTTCTTTTGATGCAGCCCAGGATGCGGTTGGCTTTCTGGGCTGCCAGCGCACATCATCCAGGATGCGGTGGGCTTTCTGGGCTGCCAGCACACTTCGTTGGCTCATGTTGAGCTTCTCATCCACCAACACCCCCAAGCCCTTCTCAGGGCTGCTCTCTATCTATTCTCCATCCAGCCTGTATTTGTGCCTGGGATTGCTATGTCCCAGGTGCAGGACCTTGCACTTGGCCTGGTTGAACTTCATGAGGCCTTCCAGCCTGTCCACGTCCCTCTGGATGCCATCCCTTCCCTCCAGCGTGTCGACTGCGCCACACAGCTTGGTGCCATTGGCAAACTTGCTGAGGGTGCCCTCTCTCCCCCTGTCCATGTCTCCAACAAAGATGTTGAACAGCACTGGTCCCAGTACGGACCCCCGAGGAGCGCCACTTGACACTGGCTTCCACTGGGACATTGAGCTGTTGAATCACTGAGCATGAATTACTGTCAAGGCCAAAACTCGAGCCTCCCAGGCTCGCTCGCTCACGGTAGTGCATTTTTGAAGCAGCAAGTGTAACCTTGGCTCCCCAGGGGGGAAACATTATAGAAATCCATGATAAATCTCAGAGCTGGGCTCAGGTCAGTTTGTCGGGGGGGGTTTATTTGAGCTGTTCCAAAGAGGGTGCAGTTTGACACGGTGTGTCGTGCTTTGCCTCCCCGAGCCTGGGGCAGGTCCTGAGTGTCTGGATTTCAGCGTGAGTCGAATGTAGGAGAAGCAAAAGGGTCAGTCTCCCCGGCTGTGGCAAGGGTCTGTTTTGCCAAGTTTAATTTTACATGTGTGAGGGGGTCAGGAGCTGGATTTGCAGACAACCAAAACATGTACTTAACAGTTGGTTTACTTGTAAATGCCAAACCAGAAACAGTTGCGTAAAGTCCCTTTCTAAGGAGTTGTTTTAGATTTGGTTGGGGTTTTTTTTTTTCATTTGGGGTTGGTTTTTTTGTTTTTTTAAAGTTAGTCTCGTCAGTAAGTAATATTGAAGTCTTTGCCTCAAAGTTCATATTTTATTGCAGGAAACTTTGCAGTGAAGATTTTTAGACCTCTGTGTTGGAGAGAATCAATTTTGGGGGGGTGGGGGAGAGAAGGTATTTGCAAAAGTTGCAGAGATCAGAACGTGTGGTGCAAAAAATACTTGTAATAGGGGCAAAGGTATTACATGAAGTTTCTGTACTATCTTCTGCCAAAAGGACTTTAGTCTTGGTCTGAAGATCATTCATTTCTTGTTCCCAGCGTACTGACCCTACTAAAAATTTCAGAAGATGGTATTAAATATACCATATAAATAAAAATCAGGCTACGAACACCCATCTTACAAATACATGTTAATGTTTCATTCTGTCTGGGCAGTAGGGCAGGCTATGTAATGGTTCTGACTAATGGAATCCTCCTGGCTGAACTGTTGTCCAAATTGTTGATTAAAATTTTCTTAGGATAGACATATTTTGGTTGCCTGACTAATTGTCAGTTTAATATAGTCACGTTTGTTTCACTGAAATAAGGCTTATAAAAGTTTGACTTGTAAATGACTGGATTTTTTTGTGGGGCACCTCACTGAAGAAATTGTCAACACTTTACAAATAATATTTGCCTTCTCTCCTCACTGGTTTATTTTGGGAAACTAAAGTGCAACAAAGTTTTTTTAAAAAAAATTTCCATCTTACAATTTGTAAACATAAAAGGGAAAAATGAGCTTGCAATTGGCATGTAAAACATATTCAATTTTTTAATGTGAATCTGTATTTTCAGTGGTTGTTGCTGCACTGCAGTGATGCTTTTTTTTTTGCAGTCTCACGTGTCCTGATATCTGTAGGTCAAACATAGGATATTTTTTATTCATGGTATAAGTTACTGATCATTATTCTCATCTGGGATGCAATGTTTTAAGTACTTAGAGTTGGAGAGAAATTGTTTGGACAGGGCTGAAGCTTGGAACAAGTCAAGGCTGGAAAACATACGTCCTGTGGAGACTGGAAGGGGAGAATTTATTTTTGTTAGTTCCAGTGAAATGAGAGCCTGAATTTATCTGTCAAGCTCCAGCCAGAAAGATTGTCACAGTGTTCCAGTCGCAGGGTCACATTTTTCAGTTTGGAGATTTGGTTTCTCTACCAGAAGTAAAACCAGTTCTTCTTGGTTAAATAATCCTTGTAAGATGAAAGGAAAAATGTGTGTTATAGCTGCTGATTTAACATATCCTGTAGATTAGACTTTCTTACAGTTTTGTGCATAGAATATGTAAAAAGATGAATTCCTTATTTATTTTTTTTTTCAGCTAGCTGACAAGTTGTTCAGGGGTAAAGTGAACAAAGGAAAGCCATGGCTTCATGCTGCCTCTTCTCTTTCCCTGCTCATACCTCGGGGCTGGAGGGGGGGTTGGAGGTGCTGAGCCTTGCTCCAGTGGGACCCATTCCAAGATAAGACCCACCAGACAGATTACAGCTTGGCTTGTTCTTTATTTTATGGGTGTTTTGTGAGATCAGGCCGTGTGGTGGTTTCCCTCTGTGTGCCCTCCTGCAGTCCTCAGCCTCTTTGGCCAGGCTACGAGCGGAGGGACCAGACGGGGCTGGTCTTCTCACCACCACACCAGTCTCCAGACCTTCCTGCCTAGCAAGACTTTCTTGGCCTGGCTTATAGTCCCGTCAGGAGCATCCTCGCCATTTTGGAGCCGGGGGGGGGGGGGGGGGGGAAGATTGGTTGAAAGAG